GTCTGAATAGTCTTGGACCTTTTGACTAAGGTGGCTCACTTGGTTTTGCCAGGAGTAGGCAGCTAGCTCTTACAGGTCAACCAGATTACTATTCTAGCAGAAAGGGATAGATATGGATACCTTTCACTTTTTAAAATGAGAAATTGCCATTACTTTCTTCTGCCTTATTTGGGCATTCAAAGAGATGACGTTCTCTTCAATTAATTTATAGAAGTATATAAACTCATATTTCTAAACAAAGTTTTAGTAGAAAATTTGCAACTATCCTAAATATAGTTTTTCTCAGCACAGCCTATTTCTTAGAGAGCAACCTTTCATAGAGACCTTCTATATACTTTTCAGAGTCACAGTCCATTAGTTCCACTTGAGAAAGAAACATTAAGATGCATCAGTGTCAGGGGATTCAGGCCCCATGTAGAAGATTTCCCTGAGGGCCTCCCACATGGGGGAATTTTTATTTCTCTGATAGTTTCTGAATAAAACTATAAATCTTGCTTTTCAAGAATTTCTATATTTATCCTTTTCTACTTCTAATCTCAAATCTATCCTGTTATTTCTACTCTTTTCTTATCACAGTTTGTTCCAAAGTTTCTGGAAATATTCCTGCTTTTCTTCCCTATCAGGATAGAGATCGTGGCAGTCCATGCTTTTCAGAAAGTGTAAAGAACCATGTATAACCTTAGGGGTGGCAAGAGCCTCCTCCCTTAGGCAAGAGCATATTTTGACTCTTTGCATGTAATAAAATGAAAATCACAAGACAGAAACTGAGACCAAAGGGTTTTGCTTTTTTCTTTTATTTCCTAATAATTACACTATTGGCTATCCCTGCATGATTTCTGCCCTCTGGTGGAGAATGGGAATCTTTAACCATCTGGACACTATCCAGCTCTGCAAAGGCACAAAGCAAGCTTACCCCAGAATATGGGTGGACAGGACAGAGGCTGCCTACAAAATTCAGGCATTCTGTATGTACCTGGACCATCATCTTGGAGCAGGGCTACTTCAACTCCTTTATTGTATGGCAGAAATTAAAGATTTATGGTAACATCTAATCACAATCTAATTTTATCTTTGGGACACTAATGGACAAATTTCTTTGTAATCTATTTAGGGAGGAATATACGTTTGAAAAATTAAGCAGGCAAAATTCTCAAGGAGTGGCTACTGACAATAATTTTTAGCATAGCAGCATTACAAAATAAAAAGAAAACTTTCAACTGTGGATCTTTGAATTCTCCTGCAAAGTTCTCCTTCCTTGTTAGAGATGATCATTCATTTGATAAATATTTTCTGAACACCCACTATGTGACTAGCATTTTAAGGAAGTTAAACAGATAAAGTCTCTGCTTTCTAGAAATTACATTCTAGTTGGTGAAACCAATAATAAAAAAAATATATACAAATAAGATAATTATACACTATCATAAGAGCCATGAAGAAAATGAAATGTATGAGAGAAACAGAGGGAAGCCATTTTGCAAAAGAATGGGCTAGTAAGGTGACTCAGATGACAGTTGAGCTGAAACTTGAAAAATACAAATGAACTAGACATGCTAAGAGCTGAAGGAAGATAACTCCAGGATATAAGAACAGCAAGTACAGATGCCTAAAGGAAAGGAAAAAAAGGCTTGGTTAGTCTGAGGAACAGAAAAGAGACTGGAGTATAATGACAAACAGACAAGAACCAGGTCATGCAGCAGTGTGTGGAGATTTTATTCTAAGCAATGGGAAGGCACTTGCAGGGTATAAAGCAGGAAATGGTGAACATGATCTTTTAAAAGAAAGTCCTGGCTGTGTGGAGAACGAATGGATGCACAGAAATCAGAAAGCTATTGCAGAGGTCCTTGGGAAAGAAGATGGTGGCTAGGACTAGGGTATTGACTCTGTGGGGGAGAAAAAGTAATAATAATAATAACAGTAATAACAGCAGTAGCTACAATTATATTGTGTTAACTACATGTCAGGTACCATTTTAAGACTTTATTAACTCATTTAATCCCTACAACATATTACTATAAAAAAAAGGTATTTTAATTTTACAGTGAGGAAACTTGAGTGAGGTATAGAGGTTGGGTTGATATACTGGAATGAAGGAGCTAAAGTAAAAAACATAAATAAGATAGCTCCCAGGTTTTAGGTTTGTACAACTTAGGTGTGAATTGCAGAGATGTCAAATTTGTACTCTGAAGTTTGCATTGCTAATCTTTGCTCAACCTACTTTTTAAAAGGATTGTAAAAATAACATATGCTTTTTAAAAAAGTTTCACAAAAAAATGCAAAAATATAGTGTTTTAAAGAAAAGGCAAGGAGGATGATGGTCATGATTATCTGGATTAGCCATGACTGACAAGAGGCTGGATTAGTATATCTCAAAACAGTTTGGGAACTACCCAAAGTTCACAAATTGCTCAGGTGGTAGTATTTACCTCCACAGTGTTGGACGTGTGGGCTTTATCACATTTTGTGACAGAACAGACAGAGGGGCAATAATGATAAGAAAAATGGGAACAGATGAACTGAATGGGGGAAATAATATGAAGAAAAGGAAAGAAATATGGAATTTGCAACACATATAACCAATAAAGGATTAAGATTTAGAATATATAAGAACGCCTATAAACCAGAAAGAAAATGCCAAATAACCATAGGAAAATGAGCAAAAGACAGGAACAAACATTTCATAGAAGGGGAACTCTGAATGGCCACTAATCACATGTAAGGATGCTCAACCTCATTAGTAGAAAAATGCAAAATGCAAAGCAAAGTTACAAATGGAATACTATTTTCTATCTAACAAACAGGCAAAAATTATACCAAGTCTTGGCAAGGATATGGGGCAACTGATAGTGATGACATCAATTAGTGCTACCACAGTTTGGCATAACCTAGTAAAGTTAAACATACTTATGACTCAATAATCCCACCTTTGGTATTACAGAGAAACATGCACAGATACACTGGGAGACATGCACAAGAATGGTTACAACCAATTAGACAGGAAATAACTCAAAATAAACTGTAGAATGGATAATTTTAATATTTATTAAATGAACTGCTATGTAGCAGTGAAAATATGGCTACCCCAAGTTGGATTTTTAAAAATGTAAATGAAAAAAATATTTAAGACTTCATAGTATGCTTCCATTTTTATCAAGAGCAAAAACAGGCAAAACCAAACTATATATTATTCATGTATACATGTATATAGAGTAAATTTATAAAGAAAAACAAGGGGATAGTAAACAAAATTTTTCTTAAATGTCTCAAAATACTACATTTAGTCTTATATTTAAAATTACTTTTTCAATATTTAAGTTGTATCCTACCTTATAATTATGTAACAAATGATCCAAAATCCAAGAAAAAGGGATAAAATGGAACTCTTATCTTCAGAGAATGTGCCTGTTCATAGATCATGAATGGACTCTTTGAGAATTTTGTACACCTTATTTCAAAACTTGGCACTAGAGGAGGAAATGAGTATTTCTCTTTTCATTTTCCAGGCAAAAACTAGAAAAGAAATACTAGTATCAAGCAAGTAACAAAATACATGAGATGTGGAGTAGTATCAAACGTTAAATAAGTTCTCCCCAGCTCCCAAATAAATGAGAACCAAATATAATCCTCCCTCAAGTTTCAGTCTCTTAGAACATAACAGTCTGCAGGGTTTGCCCTCAACCAAAGAAAACTGTAGTGAACTTTGCAGAGGCTGATAAGACATAAGCAAAGAAAGCTGAGGCTAAATGATAAAGGTTTCAGAGAACTATGATTACAGTCTTTCATTTTGCTTAGGAAACTATTATCTCACCCTTCAAATAATTGTTCCCTATATGCATCATAAATGGTTCTATTAATCATATCTGGTAACTATTTATAACTAGCACCCATATTATTCTTAAATAATATAAATATGATCCAGACAATAAGAGTCAATATGTTCATATTAATTACTATTACTTTGATGCACTATTCATATGCTCCCACACATTTCCTCTATTTTGAATTGACTTTTAGATAGTAGAACCTTAACTGAATCAAAGTGAGTGAAAAATTAAACAGCTTACTCAGTTTGCAGGCTAGATGAAGAAAACTTCCAAAAAATTTAAAACTTTTTCCACAGTTCTCTTCAAGAAATATTTTTTGACCCATGCCTAAAATTAGTTAACATCTAAAAGTGTTAACATCTCATAAAATTACAAATTAGCTAAATGGATACCGGTCTCTATGAGATACCTTCCAGTGTTTAGAATCCATTTAGGTTGAATTTAAAAAAAAAAACATAACAAGTTTCCATAAGACACTGGAGACAAAAGAAACATGAAATTAAAGGAAGTAACTTGTTATTCTTCTTGAGCACTAAAGAAACTGCTTTTCCTAAGTCTGGGGACTTGGCCTACACATTATCAGAATGCATAGCTCCAGGGTGTGTCACCCTTGCTTTTAGGTTCAGAGAAGAGGAATGCCTTAGATAGTAGTTTTATACCATCTCTTTGGATGGCAGAATAATAGATAAAACTAGCCACCCTTCAGTGAGTGAGTGCCAACTGCTTGGACTTTGCATATATGAGCTCAATGATCCTTTCGGGACCCCAAGGAGTATTACACCTATTTTCCAGATGAGAAAACTAAGGGTAAAGGGCTCTTTTTAAAAACAAAAAACAAAAACAGAAACAAGAGCTTACCCAAACTCCAAAGTAGCAGTCAAGATTCAAATCCAGATCTTACGAGTCTAAATTTGTGAATATTGGTATATAAATCCCAAACATTTCATCTAAGTAGCGTCCATGGATTTATAAAAAGATGTAGCCTGCGCATAAACTATCTTGAAGGTACCAAACCTTATAGCAAAGATGTGTGTGTGTGTACCTTACCATATATATCACCAAATATGGTCTGAATTTAAAATTAGGAACACTAATGTGCAAAAGTCGTATCAACAAAGGTTTTAAACTAAATACTTCCCCAATAATTAATAGTCACGTAGCCATTCTGGAATCTGCTACCATCATCTACGATCCATGATCACTAGGTGAACTCATATGGGTTTGAATTCTCCCTATGCATGATCTGGGGCAAGTGTCTTAATTTCGCTGTGCTGCAGTTAAGAAAGGCCTGCTACAGCTATAAGGCTGTGGTGAAGAATTAATGCTTCACTACAAATCAAGTGTATAGAACAGGACCTGATCATGGGAAACGCCCCAATCATGTTAGCTGCCTTCGCTAAGGTCCTTCCAGCTCTAATAGTTTATGGGCACATCAAGCTGTGGTGAATATTTCGGTAAAGCCAGTCTGCAGTTGTTGGACTGGTGGGTGCTCAGTAACCACAGAGACGAATGAACGGGGCTGTCCAGATGATGATAGTTCCACCTGCACACTTCAGGAGATGAATATCTAGGGCAGCGGGGCTGTAGAGACCCTGGAACAGTTTTTATGCCTTAGACCCTAGAGCGCACGAATGCCAGGAAAGTTTGTTAAAACCGCCCCGCCTGCCCCAGTGAGGCGGCAGGTCCGGGGTGCGGTCCAGATCAAAATGAACAAGCTCGGTGGGCCTCACTGTGACTCAGAAGGGTTGAGGGCAAAGGCCACACAGCAGACGCCTGACCTGGCTCTAGAGGGCAGATACTGTGGCCGCCGTCGCCGGAAGTCTGAGCCCAGCCTGCCGTCCGGCCGGAAGCAGCAGCCCCGGGAGCCCCGCCCCCGCCCGGCCGCCCAACCCCGCGGCGAGAACAGAACTTACCTTCCGCCAGTCTGGTTCCGCGTTGGCGAGAGCGGCCCGTCGCGAACCCCGCGTGATGCTACTGCGTGAGCCAGGTCTGTGGCCACCTCGCTGAGCCTCCGCCAGGCGGGGCGAAGTCGCCCACGTGACCCCAGAGCTTCCGCCCCAGGATACCCCACCTGACCGCGGCCGCTGACCAACCACGTTCCGCTAGGACTGACAGTCTTAATCCTGTGTTTGACAATCGTAGGTGGCATCAATTTATTTTTAGATATTTGTCAATCTCACCACATTTGTCCAAATATTCAGTGCACTCAGCGATCTCACTTCTAGGAATTTACCTATAAAAATATTTGCAAAAGTTAGTCACAGTGCATGTAATAAAGATGTTTATTGCAGGAAGGAATGAGAATAGCTAAAGTGATCATCAACAGGAGAATGGTCAAATGAAATACCGTGTAGACATACGAACTGCTTGTAGCTATAAAATACTATGTGTAGTGTGCTCTCTTTAGCGTGAAAAATTATTTCTCGAGATACCAACTTGTAAGTATGTACGTAATCTTTTTCTTAAAAAAAAATTTAGTGGTTGCTTGGGGTAGTGTAAGATTTTCACTTTCATATTTTGAACTTTGCAACTTTTTTTTCTCTTTATACTTCTCTGAATTAAAAAAAAACCACCTC